CCAGTGTATGGAAAATAACAGGTTAGCTTAAACTTAAGCTAGCAAATTTCAGTGTTTGTCACTAATCCAAGTGAGATATTTACTATTTAAAATCTACTTGGTTTAAAGGAATAGAGTCAATAAGGAAGGGTTGAAAGGAACTGTGTTGGCTGAAATAAGATATTTGGATTATTTATAGACTTTCAAATACTTTAGTATCATAAATAAACCAATAATCACAAACCCCTCAGGGCCAACAAGGAGTGTAGAGGTTCCAGGAGGATTAGGGGAGGGTGGGGGAAGAAAGGGGGAATCAATTACAAGGATCAATCTAAAACCCCCTCCCAGGGCGATGAACAACGGAAAAGTGCGTAAAGGGTGACGGAAGATGCTGTAAGATATGGAAAAATTAATCTATAACTTATCAAGGTTTCATGAGGGAGGGCATGCGGGGGAGGGTGGGGAAAGAAATGGGGAGCTGATATCAGGGGCTCAAGTGGGAAGAGAGTGCTTTGAAAATGATGATGGCAGCATATGTGCAAATGTACTTGACACATTAGAGGAATGTATGGATTGTGATAAGAGATGTGTGAGCCCCCAATAGAAGTATTTTTTAAAATGTATCTCTTTTTTCTACTGCCTTTCAGTTTTACCATTAGTCAATGATTATACTTGTCGTTAATTTGGCATGGACATTTTCATCAGCTCACAAATAACCAAAAGAATCCTGATAATTTACTCAAAGCTTTATCTAAGATGAAACCAGTTAAATTCAAAATGTAATTATAACTCAGTTGTGCGTCTCGAAATGAGGTACTTTTTTGTTTTTGATGGGGTGGAGATAGGGGCATACAAACAAAGGGGTTTCTAAAGGTTAATGAAGGAAACTCCATTATTATTTGATTCCATATTTTTACAAGTTTTTCTTCTTCCTTTTTTATTAGTTGGGATTTATACATTTATAATTCCATATTTCAATCATGTCAAGTAGAATTGTACTATTGCTGCCACGTTCTCTTTCCAAACACTCTTTTTCTACAAGGACTCCTTGACATCATCTCCCCTTTACCCCACCACCACTACTGTACCCCTCTTCCCCTCCCCCTTATTCTACTCACTGTCCCCATAGGTTCATCAATCTTAGTTTCATATACCAAAAAATGGAAAGGCATATATAACACAGCGTCAAGAGGTTGACCTCCATTGACATAACATCTCTGAGATACACTCTAATATGAACGAACAAAAAAATACAAACCAAAAATAAGAAAATTTTAGAAACCAAATCAGGTCCAAACCTGCATCATAGGGGGATCTACTGACAAAGTTTTAACTGTACAGGTCAGATTTATGCCTTTGGCCGTCCATAGCCCTCTCTCCCAAGCACTCTATTTAGTGGCCTCTTTCTTCCCCTCCCTCAATTTTAGATAGGGGGAGTTCTCCGGAGGGTTATTTTCTGAATAGTTCCACAGATAAATTTTGGGTTCTGACTGACATCCATTGCCCCCTGCACACTGGATTCCCACAATTTAGTCTCTGATACTAATCCCTCTTTTGACTTCAGATTACAGTATATACTCGTGTATGAGCCAAGTTTTTCCAGCACATTTTTAATGCAGTTTTTGTGGTAAAATTAGGTACCTCTGCTGATGTTTGGGTCGCCTATACTCAACTATATATGGTATATGGATTCTGATTCCTAATTTTTTGTGAATATTTTGGAGCCCGCTTGTATATTCTCAACCCAATACTCTAGTGAACAAACATTAAGTGAACACAAACACTAAGTGAACAAGGAAGCATTCCACATAGAATGCCAGGTACTATCACTTTGTGGGAAAGGTCATGATCAACCTGAGCAAAGTCCTGAACCTCATGATAAAGATTTAGAGTTAAGGCACATTTTTCTTCATTGTTATTGGTGAAAACATTTTAATTGTGCAATTGGGCATGGATTCTAAAGCTCTAGTAGAAGAAAACAGTGCAGATGTTCATTGAGCAAAGAATGTTTTTGTGTGCTGTATGTGAATAGTCTCTTATCTCTCCACAAATGTTCAACGGAGTTGAGTCAAAACTTGCATATGTGGGCTCATACAACTCTTATCACAATCCATACATACATCCATTGTGTCAAGCACATTTTTGCATTTGTTGCCCTTATCATTCTCAAAACATTTGCTTTCTGCTTGAGCCCTTGGTATCAGCTCCTCATTTTTCCCCTCCCTCCATCATGGACCCTTGATAATTTAGAAACTATTATTATTTTGTCCTATATCTTACACTGTCCTACTTCTCCCTTCACCCACTTTTCTGTTGTCCATCCCCCAGGGAGGGGGTTATATGTAGATCCTTGTGATCGGTCCCCCTTTCTATCCCATCTTCCCTCCACCCTCCCAGTATCACCACTCTCACCACGGGTCCTGAGGGGTTTATCTGTCCTAGATGCCCTGTGTTTCTGGTTCCTGTCTGTACCAGTGTACATCCTCTGTTCTAGCCAGATTTGTAAGGTAGAATTGGGATCATGATAGTGGGGGGTGGTGGAAGCATTAAAGAACTAGAGGAAAATTCTATGTTGTATGCTTCATCAGTGCTACACTGTACCCTGACTGGCTCATCTCCTCCCTGCAACCCTTCTGTAAGGAGATGTCCAGATGCCTACAAATGGGCTTTGGGTCCCCACTCCACACTCCCCTTCATTCAAAATGATACGATTTTTTTTGTTCTTTGATGACTGATACCCGATACCATGAACACCTTGTGGTCACACGGGTTGGTGTGCTTCTTCCATGTGAGCTTTGTTGCTTCTGAACTCGATGGCCGCTTGTTGATCTTTAAGCCTTTAAAACCCTAGACACTATATCTTTTGGTAGCTGAGCACCATCAGCTTTCTCCACCACATTTGCTTATGCACCCGCTTTATCTTCAGCGATCATGTCGGGAAGGTGAGCATCATGGAATGCCAGGTTAATAGACAAAGTGTTCTTGCATTGAGGGAGTGCTTGAGTGGAGGCCCAATGTCCATCTGCTACCTTAATACTAAACCTATAAATATATACATATAGTTGTTTCCCCTTTATCATATATACATATATTTACATATGTATATGTCTGTATTTAGACCTCTGTAAATGCTCTAGTTCTTTCCTCTATTTCCTTTTACTTTCCTCTTGTCCCACTATCATGCACGGCCTTCATTTGGGTTTCAGTAATTCCTTTCAGATACATATTGCCCTTTATCAAGCCCTACCAGGCCTCCTACACCTTCCTTGACACCGATTTTGGATCAGTTGTTATTCCCTTGTCCCTGGGTTTGTTAACACCCACTTCATTTCCCCTGCCTCCCCCTCTCCCATGTCCCCCGGTACCGTTCGTTCCGCTGTTTTCTTCTCCAGATTGTTTATCCCGCCTATCTTATCTAGATAGACCTGCAGAGATAATAATATGCACAAAAACAAGACAGAGCAAAACAACGCAGCAAAAGAAAACAAAACAACAACAACCAAAAAAACAATGACCAAAAAAAATGCCTGTAAATAGTTCAAGGTCTGTTTGTTGACCTTTAGGAGTGTTTTCTCATTGAGTCTGAGGGGTGCCATGCCCTCACCCAAAAGTCAACTTTTGGTTTTCCCTTGAGACTTCCTTGCTCTGCTCCCCTTGCTGTTCTGTTGCTTGCCCTTAGTGTTCCGCCTCGGTGTGGTGGGGTCAGACCAGGTGCAATTCCCACACTGTGTCTCCGGCGTTGTCCCCCGTAGGGCTGTGGGTCAGTGAGGGATGTCATGTCTCATCGTGCAACCGGCCATATGGTCTTCTCTGTGCATTGCCTGCTCTGAGCAGGGATATCATCCTCAAGGCTTGGTGAATCAGGATGTGCTCCACTCTCTTCCTTCCCCTTCATTTGCTTCCGTGTGCTCTGATCAGACATGTCTCTCTCCCCGAGCTATAGCTTCAGTGCTGTTCTCTGAAGTAAATTCTTCCTGGGGGAGGGGCAGCTGGCCACATAGTTTGGGAATTGGGGCTGGCTCCTCAGACCTCTCTACTGGTTCCCTGCTTCATGCCGGTATGTTGCCTTCAAATATTGGAGCACCAGGTTAAAGTCTGGTCCTTCTTTCCCTGTGGGGATATAAACACTACCCTCCTCTTTTAAAAAAAAAGAGGAAAAAAATTTCCATATGTGAAACCACTATAGATGTGATAGAACGAGAGCTAATTTATAACTCTTAGGGTGCACTCTTTTTCTAGGAAGGAGGATTTGAGATGTACATTTAAGAAATGATAGGTTTCTTCATGTGAAAATAAATTTTGCATCTTGCTTTAAAACCACCTGTAGCTATTGGTGGGGACCCCTGGTGATGTAGTGAACTATGCATTGGGCTTCTACCTAAAAGGTCAGCAATTCAAAACTACCAGCCTCTCCAAAATAGGAAGATTAGGCTTTCTATCCTGTAAAGATTTATAGTCTTGGAAACCCACAGGGGCAGTTCTACCCTGTCCTATAAGGTCTATGTGCATTGTAATCAATGTGACAGCAGTGAGTTTTTGAGTTTGAATAGCTATTGGTTGATACACTTAATGGTTGAGTTGTATAGAACTAAGGATGCTGAACACAGGTTTCAAAGTCAGAATGCTTAGATCCAAATCCAGATTCCACTACTTACTAGTTGCATCACTGTGGCATGGGGATATTAATGGTTTATTTCACACAGAGTTGTTAAGGATTAATTGGAGTAATCCAATTTACCAGTTGTAGAAACAGCATGAGTTCTTGACTGAGTCTGACAGACTGGTTCAAACCCCAACTCTACCATTTACTACTGACCATAGGCATTTGACTTCTCTGAGCCTGTTTTCTAGAGGTAACAAAGCCTAACTGGTAGGGCTGTTCTGATGATTAAATGAACCAATTGATGTAAAACACTTAGCAAAGTGCATGACATTGTAAAAGCTCTATAAATAATGATATGTTATTATACAAGTCAATTCATGCGGCAACTCCAGTTTCATCTTTGCATTTATGTTTTCAGGGTGAACCTGGTTTGCCTGGGTATCCAGGCAACCCTGGTATCAAAGGTTCTGTGGGAGACATTGGTTTGCCTGGATTACCGGGGAGCCCTGGAGTCAAAGGGCAAGCAGGCCTTCCTGGATTCCCAGGTAGTATTCCTTTTCTTAAATTCTAACTTTCTTGGAATTAGTTTTTCCTTCCTTATATGAATCAAGACCATAATGCAACTTATTTGGTGGGCTTGCACTCAGATACTGACTAGCAACATTATCTTGAACTAGTTCTTTAGCTTTTCTTTCCCCAAATTTCTTTTGGTATAAAATAAGACTGAGTATTACAAACTCAGCAGGACAATATCCTGTTGGCAAAGAGACTGTGTGGTGGAGCATTTTTCAATCTTGGACTGCTAGCCACAAGTCAATTAAAATGCTTTACTATTTTTGTAGGTGAAATTATACACTTGCAAACGCTAGCCTGCTGCTGCGTCTCTTAGAAAGGTGTACTCAGGAACACAGCTAGTGGCTGTTGGTAGAACAATGGTACAGTTCAGTGCAATGGCAAGTCATTCAAGCAAAGGGAATAAGCACTATAGTCAAGCAGGTAACCTGAATGTATCTGCTCTGTTAATGCCTGTATTTAATATTTTGTTTCTTCTTTGTATTACAGAGTGGAATGGATGAATGAGCTTTTGATTATCTTTTTTTTCCATTAACCTTTTTATTTATGTAGAGCATACATCGGGTAAAGTATGCTTAAAGTGTACAACTCAATAGACAAAATTTTACCTGGGTAAAATTTATCCAGATACACGTATCCACCATACATACTAAAATATAGAAGATTTACCTCATCTCATAAATTGGACTCTTGTCCCTTCACAATGAAATATCTCATGGGATAGCCTCTACTATAATTTCTGTTACCATCAATTGCATATAAATGACATCAAAACTATGTCTTAATGATTCATTTTTCTTGTTGCACATGCCAATAGGTGTTTTTTGTATGATCATTGGGTAATATTTAGGTGAAGAACTATAACACAATGAATTAATTACCCCATTTTGTCAAACAGACTTTGGGAATTTAGGGGTTATTTTCACTTTGGGAGTCTTTACAATAAAAGATGCTATAAAAATATTTTGTATGTTTTTGGTGAATATATGTGCTAATTGATCTTGAGACAATTAGTGAGTTTACTAAATCATAGAGTTGATATATATTTAATCTAGCAGATAGTGCCAAAGAGTTGTCCAAAGTAGTTTATAAATTAAAGTCACAGAAGTAATGCATGAGAGTTCCAGGTGCTCAAAATCCTTATCATCATGGAGTATGGTCCGTTTGGGGATTTTTCTCCCCTTAATATTAGCCATTCTGTCAGGTAGATAGAGATATTTCATTGAGTCATAAATTCACATTCTCTTAATCAATAATATCAAACACCATATTTTTCACTGTACTTCATTTTACTTGGATCCCCAATCAACACCCATGGAATCAGCAATCAAGAAATCAGACAATACATTTATGCACATAAAAGACTGCATCAAAAGAGTGAATAGATTGGACCAAATCAGTAATAATTCATCTTCAAAATGTACAGAACACTCTAACCTTTTACAACTACATTTTTTCTTAACAAGAAAAGTACAAATAACCCAATCAAAAAATGGGCTCACAACATGAATAGACAATTTACCAAAGATGACATCAAGATGGCCAACAACCATATGAAAAATGTTCAAGTTCAGTAGCAAAAAGAAAAACATAAATCAAAACAAAATGAGATATCACCTCACACCAACACTTTTAGCAAAATTCAATAAAACAGAAAATAATAAATGCTAATGAGGATCCAGAGAGATCAGAACACTTTTGCATTGCTGGTGGGACTGTAGAATTGTTCAACCACTATGAAAATCAGTATGACACTTCCTTTGCAGAGTCTACAAACAGATTCAGTCCCCAGTGACTCTCCTCTGACCATAAATCAGGGATGTGAGTAGCCTTGTTATCATACACAGTGCACTGGAAAGTGGATTATGGCAAATGTAGTTAGGTTAAAATTAAACACCTTATCATTTATTGTCCCCTTTTACCCTTTAAATTGTTCTGGTTTTGAATATTTTCTGCTTAAATTTCAATTGAGGTTTTTCTATATTTTGTTATTGCTGTTAGCTTTTTTGTTTCTTTGCATGTTTTTTAGTATATGAAATGCAGGATGCTTGAAACTATAGAGACAGTAACTGGATTAATGGTGTCTTGGTGTGGCAGGGGAAGTTGGGGGGCAATGGGGAGCTAACAGTGATGAATACAAGAAAGAAGTAAATGTTCTAAAGTTGATTGTTGTAATGATTTCACAATTCTTTTTATATGATTGAATTGTACGATGTGTGTATTATGTCCCAATAAAACTGTTTAAAGTGTGAGGGAAGCCAAATAGCCACAATATAAAACAATTTTTAAAATGCTAAAAATATTTTAAAAATCAGGAAAAAGGAAGATCTTCAATGAGATGAAGTGGACTCAAACATAGCAACAATTATGAGAATGGCACAGGACCAGATCTGCTTTACTAACTGAATGGAATCTTAACATCTTATATTTATTGGCCATGGGGAAAGGCTCTTGTTGAAGTGCCTGTTTATGTTTTTTTTAACTCACTCTTCATTAGGTTGGTTGCCTTTTTCTTACTGATTCAGAGCAATTCTTTATATATTCTGAATGAGTCTTTTGTCAAACAGATGTATTGCAAATTCAGTCTTACTATTTCAGGTTTGCCGTTCATTCTCTAAATTCTTTTTTGTGATGAATCAATCCCCAAAATAACCCATTACCGTCATGTTGATTCTGATTCATAGGAACCCCATGTATGAGAGTAGAACTGTGCTCCATAGGATTTTCAATGGTTGGGTTTGGTGGGGGTTTTTTGGAAGTAGACTGCCAGGCCTTTCTTGTGAGGAGCCTCTGAGTTGACTTGAACTGCACACCTTTCCACAGATATGGACAGAGGTCGTTAATTTTAATAAAGTACAATGTATCGATCTTTTATTTCATGGTTAGTATATTTTGTAGCCTGGCATGGTAGTTAAATCTCAGTTAAGTCAAAAGTCTAAGATTCAAGGCCACCAGCCATCCCATGAAACAAGATGTGGAAATCTTGTTTCCAAGATTGTAGGGGTGTGTCAAAACACTTAAATTGTGCTCATGTGGAACCTGTACATAGGCCAAGAGGCCCTTGTACAAACAGAACAAAGAGATACTCAAAACCCACTGCCATCAAGTTGATGTCAACTCAGAGCGACAATTTCACAAATGAGAAAACAGTAACAGCCTTCCAGTTTGTGTAAACTCTACTGGCTCATCACATGTTATCATCATTAAGTCTTGCTGTATTCAGTTAGCTAATATGTTTAGTTAACATTTGTGTATGCTTGTAAGAGATAAAACTCTTAAAGTCAAAACTCACTATCATTGAGTCAATGCAGACTCATAGTGACTCTGTAGGACAGGGTAAAACTGCCCCTGTGAGTTTCTGAAACTGTTGTTAATGGGACTAGAAAGCCCTGTCTTTCTCCTGTGGAGTGGCTGGTGGTGTCAAACTGCTGACCTTGCGGATCTCAGCTGAATGCATTACCACTAGGCAATCTCATAGTGTCTTTCTCAATATTTTGGTATCAGAGATTACCTGGACTTATAATATGACCTTGACAATTATAAATATTATAATTCTTTGCTACAGTTATTGCTTTAAATTGTCAATTGATTTATAAGGAATTTAATACAAGAAAATGTGATTTTGTATTGAACTACATATTTTCACTTTTAGTGCTCTACCCTCTTCTAGGTTCAAAATTCTTTTTTCCTGAAGTGAAGGATTTGCAATGATTTTGTGAAAAGTGGCGTGGCTTGTGACACATTTATTATATATATGTATATATATATAATACCCTTATTCTGACTTGATTTAGAGATTTTTCTCTGAGAGATAGAAAAGTATTCTTTATTTATTTATTTTCTTCAACATTTTAAATGCTGATAGTAGTAATTACAATACTACTATCATCTAGCTCCATATTCTACTGAGTTGTAACTAATTCCTATTTTTCCTCCTTTTTAATGTTATCCTCCAGATACCTTTAAGATTTTCTCATTGCTATTGTTTTCCAATAATTTATCACTTTGGAGATTAGTTATGGTTGTATTAATTTTGCTGTGCATTCACAACTGTCTTCACCAGGGTTCTTTAGCAAAGCTTCTTAAACTGTGGGTGCCAACCCCATGTGGAATCAAGTAACTGATTATAGGGTTCAAGAAAAATTTGGCAATAATGAAGGTTTCTGAATGTGCAATGACCAAAATAAATTTATAATCAAATGTATAATGAATCTGAGGTGTTTCTGGAAGCACATGCCCATTTTGCAAATTTCTCTGGAAAAAAGTGGTTATAAGTTAATTTAAGAAGCCCCACAAAACATAAATAGTGAAATATCTTGTGCGATAACAAGACAGATTTACTTCAAGGGATTGATTCATGCAACTGTCAGGGCTGAAAGATCCCCAAATTCATAGGTCAAGTGGCAAAATGGAGAATTCCTACTGTCTTACTTGATTAGGGGTGGCGGAGGGCTGGTATGTCCAAGATTTATAGGTCAAGTGACAGAATAATGAAACCCACTGATGACTTAGTGGATTACACATTGGACTGCTCAGCAGTTCAAACCCACTGGTAGCTCAATGGGAGAAAGAAGAGACTTTCTGCTCTCATAAAGTTGTATAGCTTCAAAATCCCGCAGTTCTACTGCATCCTAGAGGATCACTGTGAGTCACAATCAACTCAATGACAGTGAGTTTGGTTTAGTTTTTGGTAATCCTGTATCCCAATATAATCAGCGACAAGAATAGTAAAGTGGAAGAGTGTTTTGGTAAAATGTTAATTTATAGTCTGGAAGCAGAAGAAACCCTAGCACAATATCCTTTATTTTCTTAAGGTATTCAATTGATTGACACCCACTCATATTAGGAGGCCAGCTGATTTACTTACATGTAACTACTTTATAACAATATACTTTAAAAAACAAAACTCAATGACATTGAATTGCAGCTCATAGCAACCCTATGGGACAAAATAGAACTGCCCCCTGTGGATTTCTAAGACTGTAATTATTTTTAATATTTCATGTTATTGACATAAAATCCATATAAAATGCACTTCCATAGTTCAGTCTTATTAAAAAGAATCTTACACCTATCTCTGCAATCAGTTCCAGAACATTTTCTTCCCTCTTGTATTTGTTATTAGCTCCCCATTTCCCTCCAGCCACCCCAAGACTGGAACTCTTTCTTTCATTATAAACAATAGCTAAGTATTTTACCAAACAAGGGGGCACTGTAACACAGCCAAAATTTGCTGTTAAACCCTCTGTAACAATTTTATTTCCATCTATGTATGTTTCATTATCATATTTCTCCAGAAATGCCACATTGCAGTTTTGGGTTTTGCCCATTGTGTACATCTGGCTATAGACATACTTACTATGCTAAGAGGAGGGCTTCAAAAAGTTAATGAATTAAAAGGTAATATAATTTTTCCATGAACTTTTTCAAGCCCCTTTCAATTTAAATCACTTTTTAATTTATTACAACATCTCAGGCAACTCAATAGAGTCTATTTCTATTTGTAGTTCTTTTATTCTGAATAAACATCACATTTTCTATTTTGCACTAACTGATTTGAAGATATATCTACAGTAATTAAACTAATAGGGGAGTGGCCTAAGGAATGATAAATATATCAGGGATGCATAATAGGTTTCACAGAAAAAACCTCATAGTGACTGGATTAATTTTTTAGTAAAAGGTTCCTAACAATCCAATAAGGAAAAGGAAGTCTTTTCAACAAATGATCATAAAGCATTGAAATATTCATGTGGGGAAAAAAAGAAAATTCAAACAATGCCTCATATCATATAGAAAGAACATAGTCTTTTGAGTGGATGTTTTTCCTAACATCAAATCTTTAAACCATACAGCTCTTAGAGAAAACTAAGGTGAATATTTTTTAAATCATTTTATTGGGTGCTTGTACAACTCTTATCACAATCCATACATACATCCATGGTGTCCAGCACATTTATACATTTGTTGCCCTCATCATTCTCAAAACATTTTATTTTTACTTGAATCATTTGTATCAGCTCCTTATTTTTCCCCTTCTTCCTCAGTCCCCTTTCCTCACGAATTTTTGATAATTTATAAATTATTATTATTTTGTTATGTGTTACACTGTCCAACGTCTCCCTTCACCCACTTTTCTGTTGTCTGACCCTGGGGAGGGGGTTATATGCAGATCCTTGTGATCGGTCCCCCTTTCTAGCCAACCTTCCCTTCACCCTCCCGGTAACACCACTCTCACCACTGGTCCTGAGGTGTTTATCTGTTCTGGATTCCTTGTGTTTCCAGTTCCTATCTGTACCAGTGTACATCCTCTGGTCCAGCCAGATTTGTAAGGTAGAATTGGGATCATGATAGTGGGGGGGGGGAAGCATTAAAGAACTGAGGAAAATTGTATGTTTCATTGTTGTTACACTGCACCTTGACTGGCTCATCTCCTCCTTGCAACCCTTCTCTAAGGGGATGTCCAGTTGCCTGCAGATAGGCTTTGGGTCCCCAGTTCACACTCCCCCTCATTCACAATGAATGACTTTTTGTTCTTTGATGCCTGGTACCTGATCCTATTGACACCTCATGATCACACAGGCTGGCGTGCTTCTTCCATGTGGCCTTTGTTGCTTCTCAGCTAGATGGCTGCTTGTTTATCTTCAAGCCTTTAAGACCCCAGACGCTGTATCTTTTGATAGCTGGGCACCATCAGCTTTCTTCAAAGGTGAATATTTTTATGACTTAGGGCAAGGCAAAAATTTCTTAGGACACAGAAACCAATAGGTGTAAAAGAAAAAAAAACATGATATATTAAACTTAAGCAAAATGAAAAACTGTTGTTTACCAAAAGACACCATTAAGACAATTAATCAAAGCCATAGACTAGAAGATAATCCGCAACTGACTGATAATCTGGGTTATAGATAGAACTTCTGCAGCTTCATAATAACAAGGCACGCAATCCAAATTTTAAGAAACAGGAAAATATGAAAAGACATTTCACAAATGATCTATATTATGAAAAAGTGATCAGTGTTGTGCAAATGCATTTGATGATGAGATAATACTACAACCCTTCAAGATTGGCTATTAAAACAATTTATATTGCCATATGTTGCGCAATGATCTACAGCAACTGAAGTTTTCATGCCTTGTGAGTGCAAAACGGTTTAGCAATCTTTTATAAAAGACACAACTGCATTCTGACATAGGAACTCCACTCAGGTATTTCTCCAAGATAAATTAAGATGTGCACAAGAAGACTTTAGCAAAAGTATACATGTCAAATTTATTGTTATTGTTCAATGTTGTTAGGTGCTGTTGAGTTGGTTCTGACTCATAGAGACCCTTTATACATGAGTTTGAAACAATGCCCAGTCCTGTACTATCCTCAAAATTGATGTTATAGAAACAGACTAGGTTTCCATAATAGGAGAATCGATATTTTTAATAGCTAAAATGTGGTAAAACCCAAATGTCCAGCAATGGGTGGATGCATTGAAAAACTATAGTATATAAATGCAATGGAATCCTACCAATTTTTCTAATATAATATGGTAGTCGTTTTTAGATTTATAAATACATTATTATGCTTATAACATTCATCTTCCATATGGGAGAACTCAATTTGATTTCTGAACAGTGCATCTCAAGCATACCTGTTGTCCATCTGTCGATAGAGATATGCATGCTGCTCTTGTTGTGAGACAGAATGGACTCAATGGCAGCGAGATCATGGGAAACACGTTTCAGTGGAATGTCCATACTAAGGTGGCCTAAGAAGAAAGGCCTAGTGATACATTAAAAAACAACAATAAAAAACCAGCCTATGAAAATATCCTGTGGATCACAAAAGTGATCATTCTGTTATGTGTGGCACCTCTCTGTGAGTTGAGGTCCAACTTGACTGCAGCAAAAATCCCAAAACAATTATATAAATAAATAAATATAAAAATTAAATATATATATATCATTTTTAAAAATCAACATATTTTGGATTTCTTTTCAGTTCTTCACTGTTTATATGGCAGCATTAGAAATTGTGATCCTAATTGTAGATCTCAAAGCACTACAATTTTTCTTTTTTTTTTTTTTAAATAAACCCTAGGAACCCCAGGCCTTCCGGGACCCAAAGGTATTGATGGTCCTCCTGGGAACCCCGGCCTTCCTGGAGAACCTGGTCCCATCGGTAAGCATAACAATAAAGAATTGGTTGTTGTATCAAACTAATACACAGATTCTGCTTGGGAAAGTAACTTCTATAATCGGTGAACATTTTTAAGACAAGGAAATACTGTGATCATTCACTTAGCTTGTTTGTTAGATATAAAATGAACAACTCTTAATAAAAGTTGCTTACAGTGATTGTGGACTCTTATTTTCTGGCCTTGGCTTCTGTAATAGTCTTGGTACTTTAGAGAAACAAATCCACAGAAACTCATATGTATAAGAGAGAGTTTTATATAAAGGGTAAGTGCACATCAAGAAAACATCCTAACCCAGTGCTGCCCAAGCCAACAAGTCCAACATTAGCCCCTAGGTCCAACACCAATCCACAAAGTCCTCCTCCATCTCTAAGGTGACCAGATTTTAACATTGGTAAAGCGGGACACCATTGATAAAACTCATATCCTGGCGAAATAGCCGCATGGCAGCTGAAAACCGTATACCCTAGCTTTTCGTGCATTCTTTCCAAAAATCAGTACTTTTTAAAAATGCCACAGGACACGGGAAAAATGGCTAAAAATTGGGACGTCTGGTCACCTTATCTCACAAAACACACACTATGATGCCAACTGCAGGAGGAAAGCCGACTCAGTGAGTGTGTAAGCATCTCAGTTCTGGCAGGGGTTTCCACACGGCTGCTCCAGCACCCAGGGCTGCATTGGGGTAGGTCCATGTGGCTTCTCCTCAGGGATGTTTACAGGAAGTGAGCCTTGCCAGCTGAAGCAGGGAACTGGCTAAGGCCGCTGCACCCTGGTCTGACCATCAGAAAGCAAGAGACCTGAGAACTCAAAAGGCGAGGCTCACTGAGCCATTTATCTCTCTGCTCTTCAATTAACTCCACATGTGTTTATCGGCCAGGTTGGCACAATAAACTTTAACTATCTTAGCTTCTCTGGGGAGTGATTCCAAACATCTTATGATAGCAGATAGAAGTTCTGATTGTTAGCTTGTTTACTGGCTTTTTAAAGCAAATCACTTTTCTTGGTCCCATTAAAGGCCTACCATGGCCCTCCTACCCACCTTACCCTCCTCATTATACTAAGGCCACTTATTTCTTGATATGTCAGTAAATAAAGCCATTTAGGGTCTCTCAAAAATGTGAAACTGAAAATATAGGAATATTGCGTGAATGATTAAGCTGTTCCTTATTTCCATTATATCCCTTTATTTTATGCCTCATTTTAACAGAATTTCAATATTTAAAGGAATGTCTCAGAACCCCTTGGTGTCATTGAGACAGTACTAGCTGAAGCTAGTGTGTAGAGATTGAAACAAGTTGTAGCAAAAGATAGTTGATAAGATGGCTCTAAGCTAATAGCTTCTGTTCTTTAGGTGGTGGTGGGCATCCTGGCCCACCAGGGCCTCCAGGTGAGAAAGGCAAACCAGGTCAAGATGGTATTCCTGGACCAGCTGGACAGAAGGGTGAACCAGGTGCTGTATTTTTTTAAATCATCAGTTTTCTACTTTCCTCATTGTCTACTTTAACTTTTGCCCTGCGATGAGAGTGTATCTTCTTTCTGACCTTTTAAGGTACCATAGATTCTACCCTCTTCCTAATTAGTTTCCTCCTCAAGATATGACCTCATGTTTGCTAACCAAGCTTCATTCTTAAAACTTCCTTTGTTGCCCAGTTTTTCACATCAAGAACTTACTCAGATTTTTCAAACTTCTGTGGATGACTCTCCTTATGCAATCCATATTCCATTTACATATATTCATATGATATATATGTATTTAAACATCGACTATATTTGTGTTCTATCCTCATGTTATTTTTCATGTTAGAATTTGTGTTCCATGTTGAAGTAAGTCTTCCCTAAATTCTGTGTAATTATACATTATAGCGCTTAATAAAAGACTTAATCATCTGAAAATATTTGTACTTATTTCAATTACTGTTACCTCTTTGAGATTTTCTTTTTATTTGCACCTTGACAGGTCAACCAGGTTTTGGAATCCCAGGACCCCCTGGCCTCCCAGGACTTACTGGTAAACTTTAATGAAATCTGGTAAATCTATCCACAAAAAGAATGTTCTCTAGCACACTTGTTTTTCCCTCTGGACCATTTGTTATAAAGAATGCACGTACACACCCAGAAAACACTTAAAGCATTGCTTATTTAACAATTCAGTATATGAAGTTAACCTGTATAAAAATGCATCCTAATGGAAATTCACCTCTTTATTAATTTATTAACTAAATGCTAAGGAAATAAGGCAAACTTGTTTGAAGAGGTGGTTTTCACTATAATCATTTGTTTACCTTTTTTTAGTTGGAAAATGAACACTCTTTTCTCCCCATGGAAGCAATATTGAGGAAATATAATGAAACACAGTAGAAATCTATATAAATATATAAATCAATAAAGTATGTCTTGGAAACTCAATTTGAATGTTGGCATATTTGGAATGGATGTGTGCACACATAAGAGCCCTGGTTGCATAGTGGTTATGCATTGGGTTTCTAATTGCAAGTCAGCAGTTCGAAACCACTAGTGGCTCCTCAGGAGAAAGGTGGAGTTTTCTATTCCTTTAAAGAGTTACAGTCTCAGAAACTCACAAGGGTAATTCTACTCTGTCCAATAGAGCTGTTATGAGTTGTCATCCACTTAATGGCAGTGAGTTTGGAATTTTCTGAAGTGTGCACATCTACACATCTCCCTGTCCTCCCTTGTGCTTAGTCATTGTTAAGCACCAAACAGTTAAATACTTAACTAAATGTATATGATGGGTCTTCCAAAAGTCTATGGAAATTTTCCAATTTTTAATATTTTAATAAAATCATAAAATCAACTGTACTTTTATTCGCTCCCCCCCCATCCATTATCTTTTAATTCCATTTTCCCACACACTTTGTGAAGCTATATATATATATATATTCTGAACTGGCCATTGCCTATTTTATGGAGGTCTTTCTCAAACACTGGTGGCGCTATCAGGTAAGGGTTGAATTGCTAATCCCAAGATCATCAGTTCAAGCCAACCAGAAAGATGAGGCCAGCTGATCCCTTAAAGATTTAAGGCCTTGGAAACCCTATGTAGGATCACTATGAGTTGAAACTAGCTCTATGGCTTTGGTTTGATTCTCTCTCTCTCTCTCTCTCTCTCACTCTCTCACACACACACACACACACACACACACACACACACACACACACACGTCCTAGAAATTCTACTATCCTTCTCATGATTCCAACATGAAAATTAGTGGTTTTATGAATCAAGGTTATATTTCCTGCAGGAATGTTAGTGGTGGAGAGCAACTCATCTAGATTGTTGTTGTAAATCTGGAGTAGCATGGTCTTCAGGAACAGAGCTAAAATAAAAAACCTCAGTGCCATTGAATAAATTCCAACTCATAGCTATCCCTATAGGACAGAGTAGAACTTACTTCTGGGTTTCTGAGACTGCAAGTCTTTACCAGAGTAGATAGCCTCATCTTTCTCCCATGTTGCAGCTGGTGGTTTTGAACTGCTGACCTTGCATTTAGCAGCCCAACATCTAACCTATTATGCCACCAGGACTCCTTTCAGGGGCACACCCCAAAATAAACTCACTGCCTACTCATTGTAGCAGTAAAAGACAGGATAGAACTGTCCCTGTGAGTTTCCAAGCCCCATCTTTCTTCCTGCAGGGACACACAGAAACGATTAAAGATGTATACCTTCCATTAATCTCAAAATTAGAATGAAAATATTGTTTCAGGAATCTTTTCCAGCCACCGTGATGATACTGTGTGCATTTTTCCCCTTATAGGTACTTGTCATATGATTATTACTCTGTGATCCAAGGATGTCTTTCTGGATGCAAGCTATTATTTTTCTCTAAATTTTTATTCCTAATTCAAAGCCTTCTGATAACTGATACAAATATAAGGGGGCTTCAAAAAGTTCATAGAAAAAACGAATTAAGAAATAATGGAATCATTCCATGGACTTCTTGAAGCCCCCACATATTGAAATAGGAAGAACAGTTTTTTGGGGTGGTTGACCATGAAAATAATCTTACTCGCTCTAATAGGTGTGAATAGCATGGCTGTATAGATAAGACTATAATTCAGTGCCATTTAATGGATTCTCTAATGTCACTTTGCTTTCTTAGGTCAAAAGGGTGATGGAGGATTACCAGGCATTCCAGGAAACCCTGGTCTTCCAGGTCCCAAGGGGGAACCAGGCTTCCAGGGATTCCCTGGTGTACAGGGCCCCCCAGGCCTTCCTGGTTCTCCTGGTCCTGCTCTGGAAGGCCCTAAAGGCAACCCTGGGTCCCAAGGTCCTCCTGGGAGACCAGGTATGTGCATCAGTGGTGGGCAAATGATGTATTTATGAGTCCATTTATTGCATTTTGCTGGCAGATTTATTAAGAATTTAGTTCTTTTGAATTTCATTTTATCATTGAAGAACTTGCATGCATTTCCATGGAATCTCATAATTCTTTTGAGTAATGGAGTTCTTCATTTACTAAAGTTGAAGTAAACAAAATAACTTAGAGTAAAACAAGGAAACAGTGGTTTCACTAGTCTCTTTTTAAAGGTAAAACAATACTAATAACCTGGCAGCAAAATGCCCCCTGCATTTCTAAATGTGAGCTTCTCAGCATGTCATCACAGAAATCATTTTAGTGGTCACTCAATAGATGCCTGTGGTCCATACCAAAAGTGTTTCTATGGTTCTGTCATGATCCACAAATGTCACTCGGCACAATAAACCAATTGGATCTTCTCTAGGAACTAGGCAATCCGATTTATCTTCACCATCACAGCATGATCAAATTGAGTCAACATCTCTTCATACCAGCCTCATGTCTGTCCCTCATTTGTCTTGTATAAACTGCTCTAGTAATCTCCACTTTGCACCCACTGTGCACCTTTTCATTCTGTCACTGTGCAGTCTCATTACATTTTACTAATTTGGGAAATGCTCATTTTCACCCTGGGTTGATTTTGCTGAGTCCAGTCACTGGTGATATATTAGCAAAAGATTTTTGAGGCTTGCTCTTTCATTTTTATATCAAAAACTTGGCCCTTGTGGGTTTTTTGTTTTACTTTATTTTGTATCATCCAAGATATAAGGAAACAAAGCCTTTAACTCCTAGAAAATCTCTGACTTTTTAAATTTCAAATGCATTTTGAAATGAAGATTGCCATTTAAATTACAGTAAACTGTAAAGTGGTTACAGTTAATTTTAATACGATTTGGACTTGATGGCAGTGAGTTTTTAAATTTTGCCCTTTAAAAACATATATTAAATGGACTCATGTATTGGGTTCAGAAATCATTTTCAAAACCAAATTGTATTGGATCTGATCGGATTATTTACAGAGGGCATTATTTAAGGTTTTACCTTCATTTACTCTTGAAGAACATCAGTGAAAACCTCAGCTAGGTTAACTCTCTTGCATGTAATATAAAGAATTGAAGGAAATACCTTGCTTGGTTAAATTAAGTACACCAAAATGTGAATAAACTAAATTATCATCCTTTTCATATTTTAATCAGCACTGTAGTTATTTGTTCTCACTAGTAATGTAGCCTACTGTTAAACATTATTTTTAAATATTTCAACATAAAGCAATTAGTCACAAAAGCTATTAAAATCTACTATTAAATCACAAAATCCCCAAAGCTATTAAAATTACCATTTCTAAAGAAACATAACAAAAGTCTCTTCAGATAATTAACACACATCTCCTGAGTGTGTACAACTTTTTAATTTGTTCATAATCTTCGAATAAAATGGAGAATTGATTGTTCCCTTCTGAGCTCTTAATAATAATTATTATGAAAATGATTGTTGGCCTTTCAACATTCATAACATGTGCTGTTTTGATTTTAGTGTTGGCTCAAAGTGGTGATAACTTAGTTTATGTTCACATGCATGAGTATGAACTTTCAGAATATTTTATTGAATTCATTTTTACTTGAAAGAATTTAGTGTAATGCTTTAGTTTCTTGATATTTCTAACAATTTTGATATTTTTCCCTTTTGCTAATGATGACATTGGACCTTGGTGAACTCTGATCCCTATCTAGGTCCTCCAGGTTAGCTCTTTAACTGCAAAATTGTAACTGCATGAAATTTACATTGTTCTTGTATATTTTTATACATATGTGTATATACTCGTCTGTGTATATTTATATACACACTCACATATATGTGTGCTTGTATGGATGTATAGGTATTTACATATATAGATACCTGTACCTAATGTTTTCTAGTATTCAAAGATTTTTTAAGAGCATATATGTCAATTCAATTCTTTCATGTTGGCTTATTTCTGCAAATTTCAAGAACTCGTGGAGTCTAGTGTTTCTGTCTAATTGGAATGACCCAGATTTATCTAATTTTGACATCTAATTTAGTATTTCAAAAATTATCCGCTCATGTCTATTTTGGTTGAAAATTATAGTACAGAATTGTACAAAGGGGTTTCACACCCTTCATAGGAATATAGAAGTTTGCACAAATCTTCTAAAGCCTTTTTGTATTTTATCTTTACCTTCAGAATAAATTTCTGGTTATTGACTTCTATATTAATAGAAATGCAAATGGGGTTAACTGTCCTTCAAGATGGCATTCACTGTTAACAACAACAATAGTTATTGTATATGAATCTTGTAAAAAGATTCTTGGCTTGCCATACCTCTTGTAGAGTTCCAAGTCATCCCCTCCTTGTATTTTGGACTGCCCCCAAATTCTAAATTCTACTTCTTTAATTCTACTGCTCTAATAGACACAGAGTAAAAGAAAATATCAATATATTCAACTCAGATCATTGTTGTTATGTGCTAGCAAGTCTGTTCCTACTCAACAGCAATAGAACAATGCTGCACATCCTCACAGTCATTGTTACCTGTGAGTCCTCTGTTTCAGTCAGTGTCACTCCATATCCTTGAGGGTCTACCTCTGTGGCACTAATGTCCTTTCCACGAACTAGTCTTTCCTGATAACATGTCCAAAGTATGTGAGACAAAATCTTGCTATCCTTGCTTCTAAGTAGCATCCTGGTTGCACTTTTTTCAAGAAAGATGTGTGTGTTCTTCTGGCAGTTTAATATTCTTCACCAGCACTGCAATTCAAATACATCGATTCTTCAGTCTTCCTTTTTCAGTGACCAACTTCCACATGCATATGAGAACACTGAAAATACCATAACTTGGGTAAAATATACTTTAGTGACATCCTTCTCTTCCACACTTTAAAGAGATCTTGTGCAGCAGATTTGCCCAATGGGATATGTTGTTTGATTTCTTGTCTGCTGCTTCCATGAGAATTGAGCATTTATCCAAGCAAGATGAATCCTTGACCATTTCGACCTTGTTCTCATTTGCCCTGATGTTACCCTTTGGTCCAGTTGTAAAGTTTTTGGTTTTCTTTACACTGGGCTGTAATCCATATTGAATGCTGAAGTCCTGGATCTTCATCAGCAAGTGCTTATAGTCCTCTATTTCTGAAAGCAAGGTTGTGTCATTTGCATATCGTAGGTTACAAATAAGTCTTCCTCTAATCAATATTCAAATGACTGCTTCTTGGTCCAACAACAAGCTCTGCAATGAGCACAATTAACTGTTCAGGCATTTCCATTCCTCTCAATACTATGCTTTTGCATAGTCAAGGAAGCACAAGTACACATTATATGTTTACTTTTCAGTGAAGATGCATCTGACATCAGTAGTGATATCCCACGTTCCAAGTCCTCTTCTGAATCCTACTTGAATTTGCTATAACTTTACTGTCAATATACTGCTGCAACCATTGTTGAAGAATGATCTCCAGCAAAATTTTACTTGCACATTATATTAATTATACTGTTATATAATTTGCACATTGTGTTGTAATTTGCACATCATTTCTTTAAAATGGATACAAATATGTATCTCTTCCAGTCAGTTGACCAAGTAAGTATCTGTCTTCCAAATTTCATGGCATGGGTGAGTGAGTGCTTCATCAGCTTGTTGAAACATTTCAGGCCATATTCTGTCAATTCCTAGAGTCTTGTTTTTGGCTAATGTCTTCAATGCAGCTAAGACTTCTTTCTTCATTACCATCTGTTCTTGATAATATGCTGTCTCTAAATGGTTGAATGTTGACGAGCTATTTTTGGTACAGTGATTCTGTATATTTCTTCCATCTTCTTTTGAGGTTTCCTAAATCATGTGATATCTTCCCCATAGAACCTTTTAATATTGTAACTCAACACATGAAATGCTTCTTCAGTTCGTTTAATGTAAGATATGCTGAGTATGCTCTTCCTTTTTGGTTTTCTAATTCCAACTCTTTGTATATTTCATTATAATACTTTCCTTTGTTTCCTCAAGCTGCCCTTTGAAATTTTCTCTTCAGCACTTAGTTCATCATTGCCTTCATTTACTTTAGTTACTCTATGATCAAGAGCAAGTTTAGAGTCTTTTCTGAAATCCACTTTGCTCTTTTATTTCTCTCCTGTCTATTTAATGGCCTTTTAATTTCTTCAAAACACTGGGTAGTGTATCGTTCTTTCTATAATTTGGAACCAACTTTTTGACACCTAACAATAGCATGATGCTCTTCATGCCATCCCACAGCTCATCAGCTCTGTTACTGGGATTCGGTGACTCACATCTATTCCTAAGATGTTCTTCTAATGCAGGTGGGATGTACTTAAGGTTATATTTTGGCTCTCGTGGCCAAAATATAATTTCACTTTCTTTAACTTCATCCTAAACCTACATATTAGCAATTGATGGTCTGTTCCACAGTTGGCCCTTGGCCTCATTTTGGCTGCTGATATTGAGCTTCTCCAGTATGTCTTCCTAGACATGTAGTCAACTTGATTTCTGTATATTACATATGGAGAAGTCCATGAGTGTGGTCAAAGTTTATCTTGTTGAAAAGAAGTGCCTTTTTCCAATAGTTTGAGATATAATTCATATAACACACTCTTCCATAGTTTATTTGTGTATAAAAAGAGATGTATATACATCACCACAATCAGTTCTAGAGCATCAGTTCCCCTCCCGTATCCATTATTTGCTTCCCAATTCCTCTCAGCTTCCCTGCATCCCCAATAAACTATTACACCAATTATTGTCTCTATATATTCATCTCTTCTGTGCTTCATAAACTGGGAAACATAACAAAAACAAAATAGAGAAGAAAGTAGTATATATTAATAATAATAAACCAGAGAGAAAAGCTATGTTGAGAAACAAGCAAAAAAACATTTAAACCTAGAACAAATCCAGAGTGAGTTAAGAGGGAGATCAAATGACTAGATACCGCAGTTTAAAGTAAATTCTGTCTGAAAGCCAGGCTATTTGCAACCCTGCACCATGGTCAGAGGCCATCTGCCAGGGGCTTAAGGTGCATAGGTACTCTGTAGATGGATTTTGGACTCACACTGCCACCCCCATAGCCTTCTGCAAATTGGGTGTTCACAAACTCTCCCTCCATCATATTTGGATTTTGTTATTTGTCATCTTTGGATCACACAGGCTGGTGTACTTCTTCCATGTGAGCTTAGTTGATGCCTCACTTAGATAGCTGCTTGTTTGAATACAAGTGAAAAGGGGTATTTTTTATGAAGAAGTGATTGGTTTTGCAAAACTGTTATCATGCAACCTCCAGCTTCATTTCTATCACCAACATCATATTTTCCAAGAACGCTTCCTTCCTCTTTGTTTCTAACTTTTGCATTCCAGTTGCAACAGTTATAGATTAAGTGCTTATTTGATCAATTTCGGACTGAAGAAGTTGATAGAATTCTTTTCTTTATGACTAGCTTTAGTGATTGGTACATGATTTCAACAATAGTTTTATTAACCGGATTTCCTTGTATGGATGTGGATAGTATCCTGCCACAGCCATCATTGTATTTCAAGATAGATCTTGAAATTCCTTTTTTGAAGATGAATGCAATGCCTTTCCTCTTTAAATAGTCACTCTTGGCATAGTAAACCATGATTATCTGATTCAAAATGGCCAGTGCCAATCCATTTCAGCTCAATAATGTCTTGAATATCAATCTTTGTGCATTCAATGAAATAAAATCCAATTTTCTTAAATTCATACATGACAAGTTCCAGTTATTAGTAGATATCTTCTCTGGTTTTAGAAAGCAGCTCATATTTTTTTAATTTTAATAAATCATTTTATTGGGGGGCTCATACAACTCTTATCACAATCTGTACATCCATCCATTCTATCAAGTACGTATGCACATTTGTTGCTATCATTATTTTCAAAACATTTTCTTTCTACTTGAGCTCTTGGTATCAGCTCCTCATTTTTCCCCTCCCTCATGAATCCTTGATAATTTAAAAATTATTATTTTTTCATGTCTTACACTGACCGATGTCTCCCTTTACCCACTTTTCTGTTGTTCATTCCCCTGGGAGGGGTTATAGATAGATCATTGGGATCGGGTCCCCTTTTCTCCCCCCACCTTCCCCTTCCCTTCCTTGTATGGCTACTTTTGATATTAGTCCTGAGGGGTATATCTGTCCTGGATTCTCTGTGTTTCCAGCTCTTATCTGTACCCATGTACAGGCTCTGGTCTAGCCAGATTTGTAAGGTAGAATTTAGGTTATGATAGTGGGGGGAGGAAGCATGTAAGAACTAGAGGAAAGTTGTATGTTTCATTGATGCTATACTGCACCCTGACTGGCTCATCTCCTCCCTACATCACTTCTGTAAAGGGATGTCCAATTGCCTACAGATGGGCTTTTGGTCTCCATTCCACACTCTCCCTCATTCACAATGATATGATTTTTTATTCTGGGTCTTTGATGCCTGGTGCCTAATCCTATCGACACCTCATGATCGCACAGGCTGGTGTGATTCTTCCATGTGGGTTTTGTTGCTTCTGAGCTAAATGGCCACTTGTTTATCTTCAAGACTTTAAGACCCCAGATGCTGCATCTTTTGATAGCTGGGCATCATCAGCTTTCTTCACTACATTTTCTTATGCACCCATTTTGTCTTCAGTGATCATTTCAGGAAGGTGAGCAGCAAAGAATAGCAGCTCACATTTTGAGTGGCTTCCAATCTGAGGGGCTAATCT